TGGGAAGGCCTAAGTTCAATCCTGAACACTCCCCAAACAGACCCCAAACCCTAAAGCACCAGGGCCAATAGACCCTGGCACCCCCAGCAACCCCAAACACAAAGGAGCCACTAACTGCCCATTGTGGTCTCTAACTCTTCACTGAGGCATCCCAGAAGCAGGCTGCAGTGTTCCTCCACAGCCCTTCCTTCCCCTACTTCTCACCGTGGTCTAACTTGTTGGCTTTAACAATCTTCACTGCATAATCAGATATGCTCGAACACTCAATCTAGGGCAGGAAGAAAGAAGGGTTGAGTCCAATCCTTGGTCTCCCACCATCCAGCCCAACCCCTAGCATGCCCCTTTCTGAGAGACTCACCCCAATGACCTTGCGGGCCCCTGCCTTGGCTGCAAACATGCAGAGGATGCCAGTGCCTGAACCCACATCCAACACCACCTTGTCTTTGAAGAGGTGCCGATTGTGAAACATGGAGTTGCGGTATGTAAGGGTACGCACCTCATCCTTCAGCATCTCCTGGGCATGAAGACAGAGGACCAGAATGAGGGACACATAAGGCCTGGACCACCACCATACTGATGGTGAGGAAGGTTAGTGTTTAGACCCCTCAGTTTCTTTCCCTTCATCAAGCTCCTATTTAGAGGAACACTCATACTGGCCAGGTTTTATCAGTGCCACCCAAGACCCAGGGATGAATCAGGAGGCTGAGGCAGGAAGATCCTGGGTTTAAAGCCAGCCTAGAACACCAAAAGGCATGATGGTATTGGCCTGTCACCTTAGCTATTTGGGAAACCCAGGTAGGGGGAGCAAAAGTTAAGGCAGACTTAGTTAGACAAGTTAACACAAAGAGGGAGCAGATACAGGTGAGCAGCAAGGAGGTTGCATAGTACGTGTAAGAGGTCAACTCTTTGTCACCTTTCAGGCTCCAGCTGCCTTCTTTTTTGGCATGGTCTGAGAACTGCTAGCTTAACAATTAGGTTAGGTTGGCCTTCCAGTGAACCCCAGGAACAGCATGCCTCTGCCCCTACCCCCAGAGCTGAGAGTATACAAGCACACTCTACTATGCTTGGTATTCTAAAACTTATTGGGCATGCAGAATATGGAGGCCACAGGACAATGTTCTCCATCTAGTCTGAATTCCAAGATTCAAGTTTAGGCCATCAGGCTTGTGTAGCAAGCACTTGGTACGACCACAGAACCATCTTGCCAGTCCTATGTCTGCCTTTGTAAGTGGGTTTGGGGATTGAACTCTGCAACTCATGCTTGCATGGCAAGACCTTTATAAGTGAGGTAATGTCCCAAGACCCCTAAAAGTTTGATTTTGTTTTATGCATATTTTCCAGTGTTCCCCCCCGCCCCGCTTTATGATGCTAAGGATAAAGGCCAGTATCTAGCACATTCTAGACAACTTAGCCACATTCCAAGAGGAGGCATGTTTTAAAGGCCCGAGGAGCCGGGCGGTGGTGGCGCACGCCTTTAATCCCAGAACTTGGGAGGCAGAGGCAGGCAGATCTCTGTGAGTTCGAGACCTGTCTGGTCTACAAAAGCTAGTTCCAGGACAGCCTCCAAAGCCACAGAGAAACCCTGTCTGGGGGAGGGGAAGGCCCGAGGAATAGATGAGGATTCCTTAGAATGCCATTTCAGTTGACTGAACCCTGTGTCTCCTCCATCAAAAGGGTTGGGGAAAAACAAGTGCAGCATGAACTGTGGACCAATTCCCACCGCCAATCACCAGAGGGCGCCAGACACCCGCAAGGCCTGACCTCATCTTGATGTCTGCAGCATGCAGGCCAGCCTGCAGAGCACTGGGCTAACCAACCTCCAAGGCAGTGGACCCAGGAAGAAGGGTAGCAGGGCCCATGTGGATTCATTCACCCCCGCCCAACCTTTCAGCCCTTTAGGATGTACTGGCTTTAGGGTAAGTCTTCACTCACCTCATGGATGCCAAAGTGGGCATAGGAGTCAAAGTAGTAGTCTTTGGATGTCATGTCCTCAGCATTGGGCTTCTCACTGCTTTCTGCTTGAGCACAGGAAACCTGAAAGAGGGGGAGTAGCAAAAGGGTCACAGGTGGGCTCTTCAGAGGTTCCTCAACCTGCAAGAAGGCCCCTCTTCAGAATGGGACAGCCCTACAGCCCCCTCCGGCATCTTTCTTCCCAAGGGACGGTATCCACTTCAGAACCCACCCAGAGCACCATCCAGGGAGCAGCCGCCTCGCCTACCATCTCTCCAGGCTCTATGCCCGTCTCTAGCTCAGCCCACAGCTGGGGAGGGAGGGAAGGGAGGGCAGAGCCAGGGCAGACACATTGAAAGCCAGAGGAGGAGGGCTGGAGATGGAGTTAAGGAAGCAGCCATGGTTCTGGGGGAGCCAGCTTGGGCCAGGAAGGGGTCTGTCCTATGTGTTTAGGGGCCACAGCAGGGGAAACTGGTTTGAAGCAAGAGGATGAATAGACCTCCTGAGGAGCCAGGTGCATATCAAAGTATGCTTATATGCAAGTGGGCTGGGGGGGTCTCACAAAAGGATATTTACTTCTTCAAGAGGCGGCTGGAGGCTCATCCCATTAGCCAAGGTGGCTACAAAATTCTAGGAGAGAGTAACAGGGAAAAAGGGTTAGCTACTGGGGTGGCTGGGGAAGGCCTTTGGGGCAGTGAGTGTTTTGCAGGTTGGCTTTTCCTGGGCATGGGAGTGGTGTAAGCAGGAGCAAGCAGTGTGGCTGCAGTTGTGTAAGGAAGGGATACAAGTGGGGAGGGAAAGGAAGGTGGGGTCTCCTGTCCCAGCTGTTGGCTGAAGAGATGGTGGCCCGCCCCATGTTGTCCCTCTCTGGTCAGATAACTGGCCACACATACCTACCCTATCTAGGCCAGAGGGCCCAATACCTGCCAAGGCACATGGGCACTTTCAGATGTTGCTCCCCTTCACTACCTAATCCCCCCTAGATTAGGTGACATTTCCTGACAGACACACCAGGCTGAAGTGCCATGAATAAACCGGAGGGGGCTGACAGGTAATGGGTGCTGGGCACCTGTCTGCCCCATCACAATCCTGTCTCCTGGCCAAAGATCATTCCAATAGAGAAATGTGGCATACCCCCACACCACAGTGAGTACACCACCCCAGCTCCACCCGGGCAAGGAACACACAGAGCAAGGCTCTTTGTTTTACCTGCCCCCGGAAGAGGGCTGCCCCCCAGGAGTACAAAATATGCCTTGGAAAGCTGGGGCAAGCTGTTACGATAAATATTTCTGCCAAAATCCGCCTGAGCCCCACCGCCACGTGTGAGCTTACGAAAGCCCCCCCTTTCACACCCCACCTTGGTCCCCACACTGAAAACTGCCCTCTTTTTCCTTTGTCCACAAGTGCCAGGCCCAGGGTCACTTCAGTGACACTGTAGGCGAACTGATCCCCATGGCAGGTGTCCCAGCAACTGACCTTCCTCTCCAGAGAACTTGAAGAGGTATGGGTACCACCAGATTATATCCCATCATTATCCCATTAGATAGATGACTGCTATCTAAGGCCAGAGAGGCCACGATCTACCACCTCAGGGGTCGGGTAGCCAGTGGGGGGAGTTCCCATGTGGGCCTCTCTTTTTCAGTAGTACAGATACCAGCAGGTTAACAACTGACTGAAGAGGGTTTGTTCTGTTTCTGGCTTTTTTTTTTTTTTTTTTTTTTTGAGACAGGGTTTCTCTGTGTAGCTTTGAAGCCTGTCCTGGAACTTGTTCTAATGGGCCTTGAACACACAAAGATCCGCCTGTCTCTGCCTCCCGAGTCCTGGGATTAAAGGCATGCACCACCACACGGCTTCCTGAAGAGGGTTTGAAACCTGAGACTAGGAGAGGATCTGATTTACAGGCCTAGTAGTGAAGTCTTTCACGAGAGCTACCCGGAAGGCTTAAGCAAAGATGGCAAGTTCAAGGCCAGCCTGGGCTACAGGGTGAGTTCAAGGCCAGACCCACTTTGCATCAAAGTTAGTAAAAAGTGGACTGAGGAATACAGCTCAGGGGTGGAAACACTCAACTGTAAGCAAATAAGCCAGGTGCTAGAATTTGATTCTGTTTTGGGGGGGAAATTAGGCAAAGGTGAGAATCCTAAAAAAGGGGTCGGGTGGGGGTCAAGGCCCCTTGGTCTGCGTGCCTACATAGCCATCCAGCCCCAAGACCGACCTCTGACCATCCACCCGAGGGCGCTTCCATGAGGGGGTGGGCTTTGGGCCACGCCCCATGAAAAAGAGCCCCTTTCACAAGCCCATAATGACCACGAGGGGGTGCCCGGCGCCGGATCCGGATCTCCTCGGTGGAGATGCCCCACCATCCTCTAACAGAGAGGTCACAGGGCTCTGCCCATCCCCCCCCAACCGCACAGGGGTAACTCAGAGTGGAGGAAAGTGAGGTCAGGCCCCACGAGGGTGCACGGATGTCCACCACCCAGCGGACAGCAGGACGCAGGTGGCACCCCCCAGGACCCCCGGAGTGCAGCCCAGGTCACCGGGCCGGGGGCGGGGCCTTTGTCCCGCACGTGGAACCCGCGGGGCCCCTCGAGTGGCACACCCCCCTCCCCACGCTACGCTGCGCGACCACGTGCGGCCCGGCTGGACGCGCCCCCGGCCCGCGACCACGTGCGACGGCCCTCGACTCGACTGCGGGGTCCGAGAGTCCCATAAGCTGGGGTCGCCCCGGTCACGATTGAACACATCCCCCGATGCGGACCTCCGCGAGGCCCAGCACACCCAAGGCCCCGTCTCCACAGTTCAGGCCGTGGGTAACCCGTCGTCCTCCCCCTACCCACTGGCCTAAAGAGCCCAGCTACTCACCTCCATGATGCAGTTCGCGGCCTCGGCTGCCGCCATCTTCACCCGAGTCCTCCGGCCTCCGAGACCCCCCCCTTTCTTCTCTCTCCCCCCGGCCGGGGACCGCCTTTTACCAGAGGGTCCACCGCCCGGCCCCCGAGACCCCGCCATAAGTTTCCAATGGCTGGGGGAGGCCTCAAACTCACCGCCGCTGAGCACGTCTATCAAAATTCGGGCGCCCTCCCCTCCTAGCGTTCAAAGGACCACCCCCTCCTGTCGGCTAGGAAGGGAACAACTGTCTGTCTATCTTAGGCAGCGCATGTGATGATTGGAGGATATCCCACCAGGTCTTCCCGCCTCCTTCCGGCCAGCTCCGCCTTGAAGCTTCCCGGCGGGCTCCGCGCTAAGCGGATGTCGAGAGACTCTGCTGTGGATCATTAAGATGGCCCGCCTCTCCGTCGCCGCAATTAGCTGAGCAAAACGTGACGTTGCAGGGCTCTTGTTCCAGTCCCTTCGAGAGACTGGCCAAGAACGACAGGGACCATTGGCCCACAAGGAGGTAGGCGGGGCTTTGGGCGGAAGCGATTGGCTCCCAGGAACATCAGTCATCAACGTTCGGTGGCTTCTCCGGAACTGGGGCGCGTGGGCGAGCTAGGGGAAAATGCCGAGTCGCTGTGAGTAGATGTGGAGGCGTTCTCATCAGGGGTCCTGAAACTTGTCAGGAGTCGTAGTGAATGTCAGTGCGATGAGCCATAACCTTGTACTGGACTGTGCCGAGTTCTGAAGACCTGTGGCCTCCTAGTCCTTTGCATGAAACACCCATCTCCCTTTGTTTGGCCAACTCCCACGCGGCAATTTGGACTCCATCTCCTCCAGGAAGTTTCCCTGGATCTGCAGAAAGTTACTCCTGGCCTGAAGATGGATGCCAATTGCTGGGTTTGTGCCCCTGCCTCTTACCTTTTGTCCCACCAGTACTCGGCCCAAGCACAGGGTCCTTTAAGTTCCCAAATGTGCCTCTCCACTCCAGGCCTCCTCGTGCTCAGATGACCTTCTTCCTTCCGACTCCTAACACTGTTTAGTGTGCGTGTGCGTGCGTGTGTCAAGTCTTGAGCGGCAAGCACTGCACCATCTGCTGCACACGTAAGGTATCTGGTGTGAGGCAGAGTCTCATGGTACAGCCTGCCTTTGTCTCCAAAGTGCTGGGATTTAAGGCTTGTGTAAACTTCTTCCAGCCAGTATGATTTTTCTTTTTGTTTTTTCGAGACAGAATTTCTCTGGCTGTCCTGGAACTCGGAGATCCTCCTGTCTCTGCCTCCCAAGCGCTGAGATTAAAAGTGTGCGCTACCATTGCCTGGTTCAGTATGATTTCTTGATTGACTCCTGCCTATCCTGCTACTTCATCCCAAATATCAATAGCCTCTGGGCTTTTCCCTCCAATTCCCTCCGTCAGTTTTGTCAATCCCCAAGGCCTTCAGCCCTAGTGCTCCCACCTGCCAATCCCTGCAGCTCATCTCTGCCTATGGCCTTTTTGGGCCTCCCTGCACCCCCAGGACAATGTCTCAATCCTTAAACTACCTCCATTCCCGCTTTACAGTTCCACCCTAGTTACCTGCGGCTCTTGCCACCTTTATGCTTCCATGCCATTTCTCATGGTACAAGGGATCGAACTTGGTTTTCTTTCAGGACAAGAGATTTTATCTACAGCTAGTGACTATAGGGCATTCTGACTTCTACCCAGCCACTCTGACAAGATATTTTAATGACCTAACACAAGGAATCTGCAACACAAGGAATCTGCAAAATTAGATGGCTGCTAATATAGATTTTTTGTTTTATTTATTTTTTTTGTTTTTTTTTTAAAGATTTTATTTATTATGTATACAACATTCTGCTTCCATGTATATCTGCACACCAGAAGAGGGCACCAGATCTCATAACGGATGGTTGAGAGCCACCATGTGGTTGCTGGGAATTGAATCTCTGGAAGAGCAGTCGGTGCTCTTAACCTCTGAGCCATCTCTCCAGCCCTTTTTTGGTTTTTCGAGACAGGGTTTTTCTTTGTGTTTGGAGGCTGTCCTGGAACTTGCTCTTGTAGACCAGGCTGGTCTCAAACTCACAGAGATCCCAACTCAAGAGATCCGCCTGCCTCTGCCTCCCAAGTGCTGGGATTAAAGGCGTGTGCCACCAACACCCGGCTTTGTTTTTAGAGACAGGGTTTCTCTCTCTGAAACAGTCCTGGCTGTCCTGGAACTCACTGTGTAGTCCAAACTGCCCTCGAACTCACAGAGATATACCTGCCTCTGCTTCTCAAATGCTGGGATTAAAGGCATGCGCCACCACTGCCAGGCCCTGATCTAGATTCCTATGAGGAAACTGAGGCGCAGATAGGGAAAGGGGATTGGTCAGGGATATATATTTAGAACGCTGCTAGGTGGAGGTTTCATTTCAGAAAGCAAACAAAACATCACTATTTTTATTTTTTGGTTTTTGGAGACAGGGCTTCTGTGTTAACAGCTCTGGCTGTCCTGGAACGCACTGTGGACCAGGCTGGCCTATACCTCACAGAGATCTGCCTGCTTCTGCCTCCTGAAAGGACTGAAGGCATGCACCACCACCACCACCACCACCACCACCCAGCTTCTTCTATTTTGTGGTTTTTTGAGACAGGGTTTCTCTTTTTGTTGTTTTGGAGCTTGTCCTGGAACTGGCTCTGTAGACCAGGCTGGCCTTGAACTCATAGAGACCCGCCTGCTTCTGCCTTCCGAGCGCTGGGATTAAGGCATGTGCCTTATTTTTTAAAGTTTATTTAATTTGGATTTTGTTTGTATGCGCACACATATTGTAGAGGCCAGAGTTTGTAGTCAAAATGCCTTCCTAGATTGCTCTGTACTTTGAATTTGCTGTTGTTTTTTGACGCAGGCCTTCTCTATGGCCCTGGCTGTCCTGGAGCTCACTCTGTAGACAAGGCTGGCCTCAAACTCAGTCTCCTGAATGCTGGACTTTGCACTTTGAATTTTCGGACCTGGCCTGGAACTCACAGATTCCCCTGCCTCTGCCTGTCAAGTGCTGGGATTAAAGGCATTGCTGCCATGCCAGGCACCACCTTATATTTCTAACCACCTTAGTTTTTGAGAAAAAGCCTCAGTAAATCTGGACCCTACCAGTACAGCCAGGTGCTGGCTGCCACGAGCCAGTTGTGTACCTGTTTCTCCCAGATTGAACACGGGAAGAGGGGAAGTTCTTGAGATTCCGGAAATCTACAATGCTAAATCTCAGAGCCATCCAGGATTCCCAAGCTGTTCGCCAGGGTTACAAAAGCAGTTAAGCCCTGGCTGGGTTCCAGCTCCATGTCAGGTAGCTGTGACTCCAGTTCCAGGGGTATCAGATGGCATCAGATGGTATGCACAGCCATACACCCCACACACACACCTGTATATGTAATTTGTAAAATTTAAGTCTTTCTTCTAGAAATCAGTAAGCTGAAATTGGAGGGGCTAACCAGTGGTTAACAGCATTTGTCTCTGCAGAGGACAAGTTCTATTCTCAGGGCCTGTACCTGGCAGCTAACTGCCTGTAACTCTAGCTCCAGGGGATGTAATGCCTTTTTCTGACATCTTCCTTCTCTGTTCCCGAACACTCTCGAGCGTACACGTACACACACACACACACACACACACACACACACACACACACACATAGAGCTAACTGTGCTATCACAACTTTTTGAACCTGTAGGCACTGCCCGCATGTAGTACACATACATACATACACATAAAAATTAGTATTTTTTGCTTTTTTTACCCTTTGTTTTGTTTTGTTTTGTTGTTCAAGACAGGGTTTCTCCGTGTAGCTTTGGAGCCTATTCTGGAACTAGCTCTTGTAGACCAGGCTGGCCTTGAATTCACAGAGATCCGCCTACCTCTGCCTGCCGAGTGCTGGGATTAAAGGCGACACAAACACCCGGCTCTTTTTTTTTTTTTTTTTTTATGGCAGGATTTTTCTATGTAGCCCTACCTGTCCTGGAACTCACTTTATAGACCAGGTTGGCCTCCAACTCAGAGATGTGCCTGCCTTCTGAGTGTTGACACTAAAGGAGTAAGTCACCCACACAGGGTGTAAATCCCAGCAGTAAGGAATTTAGTTACTTACTAAATTGCCCATGAGTTACAGGGCAACCAGGACCATAAGAGAGACCCCCATCTTAAAAAAAAAAAAAAGTACAATGAATAAAGAGCAAGCACAACCTCAACCTCTCATCTCTACACACAGTCCATGCAGTTCACTCAAATGCACACATACACAGACACACACGTAAACTCACACACTCAAACACTTTAGTTTTCTAGGTAAAGAACAAAGCTTTTAATATGGAGACATTTCAAACAATCTTTTTGGCAAAAAAAGTGGCGTGGTAGCCACCATCCCACAGCCCTGACAGGAAATATGTGTGTCACCAGAACCCGTGGTCGTTTGTGCAGTGGCTTCAGTGGAGGCACTCAGTCCAAGGGTAAGTTCAAGTCCACAGGTGACATGGCCAGGATGCCTGCCTGCAGGGGACACAGAGCCCATGACACCACTGCTGTGACAGAAAGACAGGGAGGGGAAGACAGGCCCAGAGAGATGGAATCAGATACCCACAAAGAGGGATGGAAAGACAGTGATAGACAGGAAGTAGGACAGACCCCGCGGGAGGGACAGAGTCCTGCACTTAAGTAATTCAGTGGCTGGCTATTTGGACCTGGTTTCTGTCTCTGATCTAAGGCCTGTCCTTTAGCTCCATGACATCGCTGCCCAGCCTCTGATCTCCCCATGTACTCCTGCCAGCTTCTTGATGAGTCCACATGTCCATCCTTCTCTCCACATTCTGCTCCAGGGTAGTCTGGACTCCTCCATCACTCCCCACCTCCCTATCCCAGGGAATGCCCGAGGAACCCTACTGATGCTCACAACAGCATCTTTGGCCTGGTACCCATATTCAGTCTTGAGAGAACCTACAGCTTCATCAACCAATGAAATCCAGAGTCCTTCCTGCTGGGACTGGCACCCACCTCCAGGACTGTCCAGGTCCATCCACAAGGCTAGATGGGCTATGCACAGACAAGCTGTATCCAGAGTCTTCATCTCAGGGTGACCAAGGGCCCTCCCATGGCTGTGTCTAGACCACACTTTTTCGCCCCTTCTGATGTGCTGGACTCTACCATTGAGTTTTAAAGATTTATTTATTTATTATGTATACAGTGTTCTGCCTACATGTATACCTGTAGGCCAGAGAGGGCACCAGATCTCATTACAGATGGCTGTGAGCCACCATGTGGTTGTGGGAATTGAACTCAGGACCTCTGGAAGAACAAGCAGTACTCTTATCCTCTGAGCCATCTCTCCAGCCCCCATTTGTTAATATTTTGAGACAAGATCTCATTAAGTTGCCTAGGCTAACCTTGAATCTACTCTGTAGCCCAGGATGTCTTTAAACCTGCATGTTCTTGCCTCAGCCTCTTTGGTACCTGGGGTGACAGGCCTGTACTACCAGGTACCATCCAACACCCCCTTACTCCCCCACCTCCAGGGTCTCACCATATAGCCCTAGCTAGTCTGGAATTCCCTGTGTACATTGGGCTGGCATTGGCCTCATAGAAATCTGCCTGCCTCTGAATCCTAGGATTGAAAGTATGGTACCATGCCAAGTAGATTTCTATTGTGTGTATAAAATAGTAAATAGGGTCCACTGAAGACCTCACTAGGCTGATAATCAATATAGGAAGCAGAAGTCTGTGGGACCAGGGTCACTAGATAGCATCACATGCATCCCTGAAGAATCCCATCCTCCACTATACAGTCACCCTAAAAAGATGAGGGGACTGGGAAGCTGTAGGGACTGGGAAACTATTCTCAAAACTGCTGGATCAAGCATGATGGGCATCAGAACTCGGCACAGTGCCTGGCAAACAGCGAGTGCTCAATAAACACATGGAACTAACAGAAGAGCTGGGAATTCTGCAAGAAAACCTAAGCTGTCTCCCATCAGATAGCAGTAGGGTAAACTGAAGCCTGGCAGGGTGTGTGCAACTTACCCAGCCCCCATGGGCCTGGATCCAAGGCGCAAAGCTGTGTACATGCTCCACGCTGAGGCCAGCCAGGGTACCCCCCAGCCCCGCCACACGCCGGCTTAGCTCCATGGCCAGGGCCAGGCGGGCCAGTGGTTCCGGGGATGGCGGTGGGGGTGCTGGGCATGGCAGCGAGGGGCTGGCACAGTTTGGGGAGGAGCTGACTTCCCGACTGGAGAATAGTTCCACAAGGCGGGCAAAAGAGCCTGCAGACAGTCGAGCCAGTCTACGGTGCAGAGCCGGGT